CAGTTCTATTGGCATATTTTAGTGAATGGTATAAACGAGTTGGAGCTCTTTGTGTGAAGCAACCACTGAAGAAGCTAACTCTCGTAGTGTATAACGCATTTTCCTCCCCTTTTTTGGCCAATGTACATTTTCTGCTTCAACGAGTGTTCTACCCGTCTACTGGCCGCGATTCCAGTCAGCACCGCGTTGGAGACGCCGTAGTTAAACGGTGTCCTGCGCTTTCCGCTTAGGCGTGAACCTCTCACCAGCCTGATCTCTAGTGGCTTGCATTGTCATTCCCGCTGTTTCTACCTAGTCAAGGAGGATGAGGAATGATGGGCGCTTTCCGCTTAGGCGTGAACCTCTCACTAGCCTGATCTTTAGTGGTTTGCATTGTCATTCCCGCTGTTTCTACCTAGTCAAGGAGGATGAGGAATGATGGAGTGTGGTCTATGGTATGCCACTCTTGTGATTTTCTCTCTGTGTGTCTACTTTAAAGTTGTCACCCTCGTAACTCGGTTTCTATTTGTGTTTGCAGACTCATTTCATGGGCCTAATTTATTGCTGTTAGACCACTGTGCATCTTTGTGGATCACTATCTACTGTTCATTTTCGGGTAAACTGCTCCGTTTTGCGATGGTGATTCAACTGGACTGGCGTCTGCTAAATATGTTGGGGCTTTCCCGACAGGAGGAACCACGTCCTTTTGTTGAGGCAAAAACGACTGATGGTAAGCCGCGTCCGTTCGCACTTTTCCTTTTACGCTCACAAACCGCATTCCTCAGGTAGCCACCAAAAACTCGCCTCACAACGATGGCTTCGATTTCCGCTACTTGTATATGTCACATTCCTACTATGTATCGAGCTGTCTGTGATTCTCCCAGCTTTGTACGCGGAACACTGGACTACAGGTGCAATCATCGTTACCTTTGGTGTATGGATCTTGGTATGCTTTACCATCAGTGCTGTTCGGATCGTCCTTACCGACCCCACGATCAAGGGTGTCATGCTTGTTTCCAGAGCTAGACGAGATTGGACTTACTGTATCAGTTGCCAGACTTTCCGTCCACCCCGGACCCATCACTGTTACGTATGTGACACATGTGTGATTAGACGTGATCATCACTGCGTGTTTCTCGGTGAGTTTTGAAGGGACATGATTTGATTGACACGTGGTATTTCGAGTGTGTGGATGTGGTCATCCTAAGGACATCTTGTCTTCCATAAATTTTTATGAGCATGTTTTTAACACAGGCGTTAATGGTCCTGTTGCGGGAATCCTCTCACATACCAACTTACATCCCCAAACTGCGATATCTGCCTTAGAATTACCGGATATTTTCTCGTGATGAAGATTTTCTGCACCAGTAATTGCGTTTCAGCAAGACGGCTGTTTCTTGACTTAGTCTATTAATCCTTTCTTACTTAATTGCGATAATTTCCTGAATAACTCAATCTGAATTATACTTTCTCACTGCTTTTTCATTAGAAAAGTGAGAAAATATCAGATAGTCCTTTGTAAGGTGAAGAAAGTACTACGTTATAAGCTGGTAGGAAGTTGACAATGTTCCCCGTTGAACTTTCCTTCGAGGAACATCACATTTCCTTATCTGTTTGAACAAAAGCCCGATGGCCAAGTTTACTGGCCTGGTGTGGTGAACTGGAAGGCTTCTAATAGGATGAGTGGCAGTATAAAATGTGGGTTTTGACCCACCTTGGAACACTTGCTTACATTTCCTTTGGCAGATTGCAAACTTCGTGTTTGCAATCCAATAGCGCAATACCCTCCGCAGCCTCGGTGTTGAACACGCTGTTGTTGTGTCACGCTGTCGGTGATGATGATTACGATAATTATGAAACTCCGTGCTTTTCATCGCTACCTTGCGTGTTAGGTTTTCCAGCCAAAGACCGTCGGTTGAGCCTTTTGAGCCAACCACATTCTTCGGCCTTGGCGATTAGGCAATATACTGTCTGTCAACTTTGAAAGTACAATTCATACGCAGTCAATGCAGTTCTGGAGACTTGTGACTAGACAATTTCCATGCCTTCTACACTTGGCTCTCTGACCCTCCAGATGTTCATTATGTCATACGATTTTCGCGATACCTCTACTCTAACTGCTTACAGTTCTCGAACGCCAAGAAAACATTTAGCTCTCTATGGGGTATTCCAACAATAAAAACAATCGTTCATGCGTGACACCCGTTCTCTGTATAGTTGCCGTGTCACCCGATGGGAGCCAGACGGCCCAAGTGGTTAGAGCGCGAATTTACTGACCGGAAGGTCCGTAGTTCGAATCCGACCTCCGCCACTCGACTTCCCCTGTCTAGGCTTGGGCAACCTGGCAGTATCCCAGCCCTCGTGCTTCCTTCGGGTGGCATGGCAGCTAGGCACCGGAAGCGTGCTACAGCTGAACGCTTTCTTTCTTTCTTTCACCCGATGGAAGTACAATGGTTGAAATAATGCCATGTTGTCAAAGCCTGGGCAATGGAAGTCTAGATGCCAAGGTTAATTTGAACTATGGACCTTCCTATCTGTGCCTGAACCACCGATCTAGATCTGTCCCGACGTGGATCAAATTTGCCTAGCATAATGCTTTCTTTTGGCAGCATGGCGGCTAGACATCGAAAGGATGTCACAGCTGAATGAAACGACAGTTCCACTACTTGCTTTAAATCTGCACCAGTAAATGGTCAACTAACATACTATCTTCGCTGCCCCGTTAACCCAGCAGCTTCCGCATGTGAACTCGTTGGCGGTGAAATATCGCTGAACCAAGTGGTTGAGGATGTCATCCTAGGACGGATACTATAAAACATCAGACAATCAATCATGAACTCAGCAGTTTTCTTGAGGGTCTTCTTTGGGTTACGGGAACCCAGTATTTTTGCTCCATTCTCTTCATCTACGAAATGCAAACCAAAGAGATAAGCCTGTCGCTTACCGGTGACCTCTCTTCAGACCACTCCACAAACAGTGATGTCCGAACTGAATATCCACTCTCAAATTTCGTTTAAGTTCGTCTCTGATGAGCTAATGAGGCGAACACAGCCATATATATATATATATATATATATAGTGTGAAACGTTTGAGGGTCGTACTAGGGACAAAGCGCTAAGTTTTGGATAACAAGAACGTAGCAATCGGGCAAGGCAGCGTAATGAACTATCGTTCAGCAGTATTTATTGGTGCTCAACTACCGTGAGCATAATGAACTATTATGCTCACGGTATTTGAGCACCAATAAATACTGCTTTTGCACCGGTATCCGCGTTGATATTGATGAACGGAACAAGGTGAATGGAAGTACAGTTAGACCCCTGCAGAATTCAAAATGCACAGTGGTATTAAAAGTGGACTTTTCTTCTACAGACATTTGGTGTATGCCAATACCAAAGACCCTTGCCACAACAAAGAACTGTCTATCTCTTTCGGATTACCGCCAAAGAATGGGCAGTTCAGATTCAGGTAATTGGTTATCTAGTGAGAAATATTATGCATTTAAATGGACATTCTTTTCCGCACGTTCATCAAAAGCTACCAGGTTACTGACAACACCTTGAAGGAAAGTAACAAAACGGAGTTCGAAACATATTTTAGACTTACATAAAACAAGAAAGCGAAGGCCGATATTTTTCCTGATATTGCTGTATTCTACTGTGCATAAAGGGCTGTAAACCCCTTCAGGGGTGTGCTGAATTATTTGTATTACCGACGGACTGCTTCTGGTCAGGTGGCTTACTGTTGGTGGCCACCAAATTGCTTCCGGGTCGATTATGAGATCTACGTTGTTGGAGACACGCACTTGACAGGTGTAACGATACGGTGAGCTTGAAATATGAATGGTTTTGATGGGTTCCGCAATATTTAAGCTTAGATCAGACCAATCTGTGAAGAAGTGGATAACAGCAATGGGAACAGTAGTGGGTAATGAAAAACATTAATGAGATATGGTAATGAAAAAACCAGTACTGATGAAAACAATGTTATGGTGCATGGGCTCAGGTAATTTGAATAGGAGTTTGGTCAATGTTCAAATTGAATGTGAAAATGTGACCGAATTCCACAACGTTTAGTCAGACGAGACACTTTGTGCTTGTCGGTTTGACCGGCTGTTGATTTATTCAGACAAACTGATTGACTACCCATACATAGCCATCATAGCCACTGATTTTAGAGTGTAATCCGAGCACGAGAGAGGCGTGAACTTGGAAGTTAGCCCATATTTCTATAATAACACTGAAAACACTGAAGAGATCAAAGCACGCCAAGTCCCTGTTTGGTTGTTTCTGGTATGTTATCTTGATGCCACAGACCTCCTCCTATCTTGGTGAACTCATTCTGGAGAGTTCACACCAAATAGTGGGAGCACTGGACTTGAGTTTTATTCTTATCAGAGTTCACCAGCAGGACATATTCTTGCTCGTGCGCAACAGCCGGAATCATCATCATCATAATCAGCTGCAAAAACAGCGCACTTGTTGTTCAGTGAGTATAGCTACCAAAGTATCGTCCGCCAATGATTTTCTGTGGTGGGGTAGGTAGATGAGCCTTGGGGGCGGGAGCTGATAAATTGGTGCCTAAATGCATGACTGACAGTGAACTTTTAAGTGGGAGGTTCAGAAGAGAGCTATGTATTGAAGGCAATAGCTTGAATGCACAAGCGCCATTGAGGGCGCGACTGGGCCATGTCTGACAATGTGTCTAAAAATTGACGTGTCCCGTCTCGGAGTCCCCATCCAGGAAGACAGCAATGACCAGCGCAGCTGGGTTTACTGGTAGCGACTTTCATACTCCGCCGTCCTCAGCATGCATTGTCCAGCTTTCCGACCTATATAGTAATACAGAGCGCACCGCAGCATTGTAAACTCGATCCTTGTCGAATAAGCCAACTTTACGCGTACACTGCGAATGACACAGGTTTACAAAAGCTGCTCTGGCCTTCCCAATGCGGATGGAAATATCATCTTTCTCAGCACCACCGGATTAATGCAGCTACCTAGGTCGATAAACTTGTCTACTACCACAACCGGCTCATCCGCAAGCATAAGCTTAGGGTTGGAGCCCACCCGACTTTGCAGTGGCAGTTAACACTTTGCATGTGTGAAGCGCATGCCACACCGTAAATCAGGATTGTTTGATATTTTGATATTGCCACGGCGTCAGATCCAAGAAGAGTTCTGTCGTCGGCGTACTCGATATCTGTGAGCGATCGCCTCGGTGGCATTTCGATCCCACAGTTATTGGAGCCTGATAGTGAGTCTTCCTTAGTCGTATCACTGACGAATTTGAAGAGGAAAGGTGAAAAAGGACAGCCCTGCCTGACACCATTTGATGTGGTGTGTGAAGTGAGGCGAGAGCTTCCTGTAAACCTCCACTCGGCCGCGGGATTTGGTGTACAACGTCTTGAGGAGGGTCAAGGATTTATGGAGGACATCTTTGCTCCATAGAGACTGGCATAGTTCCTGACGGTTCACAGAGTGAAAGGCAACCTTAGAGTCAAGGAACACAGTCATTGTTGGTTGCTGCAAGCAGTGTGGCAACCGCAAACTGAAGCACCCGCCGGTTATTGTGAGTCAGTGGTTGTTGTTTGGACCACAGAGATTACTTCTGTGCATTACTTCTGTGCCGTAAATATAGATCAGTGTGAATACCAAGTACGTTTTACTTGAGAGCAGAGTGTTCTTGTTTCAACAATATTCACTCGCCACTCCTGCTAAAAGGCGAATACTCAACCTCCGCATCATTGAATGATGTGCAATAATGGTGGTTTCTGATGCACACAAAAGGGCGGTTTTAAAACATAAATTAACTTTGCATGCCTCGGCAGTTTTTTTCGCGTAAACTTGAAAGTTCTTCTTAAATATGAATTTCTCAGCTCTCTTCATCATGTAACTTTCAAACAGGATAAGATTTCGTGCTCTGATCAGCTTGGCTATGAAGTGTACTGTACTACCGTATTTGACTCATTCTACTTAATGGATGAAGTGCAATTTTTCAGCAGAAGAATAACTGAAAATGGACCCTGATTTGTGAGAAAAACATCTGGTCTGACCACTTTTATGGGCTCTGACCAGGTAATCAGTATAGGTTGAGGTTACTGCTTAGAGTTACACAGCATCGCCTTATGGTCGACCATACCATGTATGACTTGTGACCGGCTTGTCACCAACACTAATCCTGCGGTAAGATCATGTGGCCAGAATATCACTCAGAGAGTGTAATCAAACAAAGATTCATTAACGTGCCAAGATGATGCATTTATGGTGGTTTGTACTTCATCCTGACAGTAAACCCACTTACGTAGGCACCCACCCACAGCCACGTATTTGTTCGCATTTACTCGATTTCGGACAGATGAGATGCTAGGAACAACGCCTGTCTACCGTAGACTTTGACCTCAACCTCTGCTAAGAGAACGCACTCTCTCAGGCGGAAGTCATTGTTCCTTCCTGTGCACATAGACGGTATTGACTTCTCTTGTGAGATAGTCTTAATAGGGAACTTGGTGGTACTAGATAGCCTGCTAGCATGTAGAATATTCAGCGAACGCGTATGACACCAGGTGAGTGCTGGCGGTTGTGGATGCACTCGCACCATCTAAGGAGTGGTTTCTTTTTTATCTCCCTGTTTATTTCATTCATACACAGCGAAAGAATTAGAAACGATTTTATCCTTTAGAAACATCATAAACGAGAGATTCATTGGGGTTCCAGGTGATTCTCTCGCAAAACCGAATTTGTTTGCAAATGTGTGTATGCTTTTTTTTCGTTTTGACAAAATGCTCGATTGAACTTCAGAGAATCTGGTAACGAACGCGTCTGCAAAACGGTGCCTGCGTAAATGGTTTTGATATCAGGATAAAATACACACGGTGGAGAGAAAACACCCACCAAAAATGGACCATCCTGACACGCTAATGAGGCTATGGTGTGATAAAGGAACCTTAGAGCAGGGAAACAGTCATCACGGAAGACGATTATTCCGAGGGTGGGTTGCGCAATCAGCCTGCCTGAATAAACCCACAAAGATGTATGCTATCCAGTATTTGAATAACGCTTATAAGGCTGAATCCGAATTTCCGTTTCCCATTTCTGCTTACAGATGACATAACTGGGTGTGGTGCTGTCCATTGTGGTTGCCGCACATAGACAACGATACGATCTGGACACGAATCTGCCTAGTCAGTTCCTATAATTAAATCAGAATTCAAACAGAATGCCTAGTTTTCACTCGAAAAAATCAGCCGTTTCATGGGAACACATTTAGAGTATTTCTCTAAGCAACAACTGTCTACTGTGCTTATACGGGTGAAATCGAATTCATTTTAAATTTCATTGCGTGTGCTGAGTGTTATTTGTGTTAACTTTTATGTAGAAATATATATATATATATACACTGATAACACAGAACTCGAAAGAGAAAGACCGCATCAGGATGGCGCACTATACACATAACTTTTATTACCTATGAAAAATTTATAGTTGCGAAGGCTTGGCGCATTTGTAGGCATACATGATACTGGAGATATCCCTCTCTAGAGTGTCGTCACGAGACCGCATCAGGATGGCGCACTATACACATAACTGTTATTACCTATGAAAAATTTATAGTTGCGAAGGCTTGGCGCATTTGTAGGCATACATGATACTGGAGATATCCCTCTCTAGAGTTGTCGTCACGAGGTCTGTTCACCTTCCAGGGAGATGACGTTTGCCTGGTTTCATAAGAATGGTAACGCTTACCGACCTTCGAACCATAAATCGTCTTCAGAAGCGACCATTCTTGATCTGCTTATAGTGGAGTCTGTAAATGGTCATCGTAAGTTAGTAGAACAAGGTACTCGTCTGTCCTCGGGTTTATCAGATCAAGTGGTGGTATTACTCACTCCTCGTACGATCCCGGTAGATTGTTTTTTTAAGTCCCGTGTAGGCGTCTTGTGGACGTCTTGCCGGAAAACGCCACGTTACCACTCGGTTTTAGCTCTTGACCCGAATCGTGAGACAGATTCAGTTGACCTAAGCAAAAGGTTAATTTAATTTTCTGCACCCATATTCCCTAGGTGTAGCTGGTGCATCACTGATTCGATTTTTTTCATGAACGTTAGCTGTGTAGAGCTTTCTGTACTACACTTTCTGCGTTGTACCTGGCCTGTCATGATGTCTGTGAGAAACATCTCACTCGCCCCTGTGTTGCAGATGTAATTTTGACATTTCTCGGTTCACCTCTTGTTGTCCTAGTTGATTGGGTGGCTTGGCGGTCAGTGTTCGCAGGTTTGACCCAGTACCTGTTCTCATTCGACTTTCGCTTCATTATTTCCGTCATCCTACTACTAATACACCGAATGAGATGTGTTCCCATTCACATGCATCATGTTATTAACGTCCGTCTTAGAAATTCCGAAAGGTTTAACACTTGGGACGCAACAGGTACTGCACTGTCAGACATGCCGACCTCTTTGTTACATCTGATTTGTACGCCGCATGTTGCAGTTCCTCACAGTTTCACTAGATAGCATCATAGCCACCTGTAACCTTGAGCTTTACGCTTGTTCGTACCCACTTCTCCATCCTCAAGCTCTCGTAGTAACCGGACCGTAATCGGTCCGGCCTATCTTTTGTCAGCCTTCTAACTGATTCCACGTCTTGGTCTTTTCACTTTTTCAGCTCAGTGCATCGGTCTTGCTAACTGGCGGTTTTTCTTGTCCCTGCTTTTCTACGGCGCCTTGGGAACTTCATTGGCCAGCTATCTCAATTTTCGTTTTCTACTGGGTGACTACTTTCTGCCCGCAGATTGGTCCGCTTTATATCGCGTCTTTTGTATCCTCGCACCCCCTGGTCTTCTGTGGACGATTGGTCTGGCCACACTGTTTCAGAACTCAGTTTTCTTGCTCCCTTCTTCATGCTCACTTCTCCTCGTACGATCCCGGTAGATTGTTTTTTTAAGTCCCGTGTAGGCGTCTTGTGGACGTCTTGCCGGAAAACGCCACGTTACCACTCGGTTTTAGCTCTTGACCCGAATCGTGAGACAGATTCAGTTGACCTAAGCAAAAGGTTAATTTAATTTTCTGCACCCATATTCCCTAGGTGTAGCTGGTGCATCACTGATTCGATTTTTTTCATGAACGTTAGCTGTGTAGAGCTTTCTGTACTACACTTTCTGCGTTGTACCTGGCCTGTCATGATGTCTGTGCGAAACATCTCACTCGCCCCTGTGTTGCAGATGTAATTTTGACATTTCTCGGTTCACCTCTTGTTGTCCTAGTTGATTGGGTGGCTTGGCGGTCAGTGTTCGCAGGTTTGACCCAGTACCTGTTCTCATTCGACTTTCGCTTCATTATTTCCGTCATCCTACTACTAATACACCGAATGAGATGTGTTCCCATTCACATGCATCATGTTATTAACGTCCGTCTTAGAAACTCCGAAAGGTTTAACACTTGGGACGCAACAGGTACTGCACTGTCAGACATGCCGACCTCTTTGTTACATCTGATTTGTACGCCGCATGTTGCTGTTCCTCACAGTTTCACTAGATAGCATCATAGCCACCTGTAACCTTGAGCTTTACGCTTGTTCGTACTCACTTCTCCATCCTCAAGCTCTCGTAGTAACCGGACCGTAATCGGTCCGGCCTATCTTTTGTCAGCCTTCTAACTGATTCCACGTCTTGGTCTTTTCACTTTTTCAGCTCAGTGCATCGGTCTTGCTAACTGGCGGTTTTTCTTGTCCCTGCTTTTCTACGGCGCCTTGGGAACTTCATTGGCCAGCTATCTCAATTTTCGTTTTCTACTGGGTGACTACTTTCTGCCCGCAGATTGGTCCGCTTTATATCGCGTCTTTTGTATCCTCGCACCCCCTGGTCTTCTGTGGACGATTGGTCTGGCCACACTGTTTCAGACCGCAGTTTTCTTGCTCACTTCTTCATGCTCACTTCTCGCCTGCCTCCTGTCTGGATCTTTCGTCTATTGTATCAACCTCATGCTGCACAATCAGACAATGTCCGATCGAACTGCGCGGAGTAAAGCATTGGCTGTGGACCCCGATCAGCGCACCGCCGAGACACAAGCTGCTCTGGTGAACACAACTCCTGAATTATACGATATTGGACCGCGCGAGAACGTGAAGCAATTTCTTGGCATCTACTGGCCACTGGCCCTCTTCTTCCCGTTTTGTAACTCTCCGCTGACAGTCGATGGGTTATCATTTCCCCGCTCAGACCAGACAAAGTTCCGATGAGAAGGGACCAGGGACTTCCTTGTCTCCCATAGGCTTACCACAGAAACGAAACCCCCATAATTTCCGTGCAGCATATCATCTGTTTTACTTTCCTTTGGCCTTTGTCTCCAGTTTGCATGGTTTGGCCACTATTTCTTATGGTACATTATCATCATTATCGTTGTCAGCTGTAAGAACCGCTTGCTTGTCATACGGTGGTTCTGGCTGCCACACTCCCGTTCACCATTGATTTGGGGAGGCGGGGTAGATAGCTGCGTATTGGAGGCGGGAGCTGATAAATTGGTGCATAAATACAGCACTGTTGAGCGGTGGAATTGGGAAGGGAGCTATGCATTGAAGGTAATAGTTTGGATGCACAAGAGCCATTGAGGGCACAACTGAGCCATATGTGACAGCGTCTCTGACTATTGATGTGGCCCGTCTCAGCGCACGTGACGTTTTAAAACCATGAGAGATTAGACCACCAACGTGGTGACTCCTTCCTTTCCTCGGTTGTGATCCATACTGTACCAAATCTCCGTTTGATATCCTTCACGTAGCAGGGGTTCTAGGACTACGCTGTGTTTCTCTACCCGGATTGACCATTACAAGATGAAAAGGTTTACAACTCGCCAAATGGTTACAGGACAAGATGCGTATCACTCGCATATCCATTTCCAATTCACGAGGACCACCCGATTAACCAGTTGATCAAATAGTGGATAGGTATGTCCAGTCTCATGTAAAAGGAACAAACACAGTTACTATTCCTCATATCACATGCATGTTTACTAGTCAGGGGTGCGAATGTTTGAAACAACAATAGCACTTCAAACCCCCTGAAGATATCCAGGACCAATGTGTGGCCTCGCCTTAGTGTTTTATATAAACGGCGGATAAGAAACCCAACATAAGTAGCAAAGTGAAAACTCTTTTGGGGGGCGGTAAGCTGCTCTCGGATTCAATCGTGTAAACGTACTTTCAAGGACACTGTCGACCGATCCACAATGCCCCGGCCAAGCGCGTTCGTATCGGTTTTTGGTTTTCAATCGATCAATCGTAGTGAATCGGATATGAACGAAAGATTCAGTTGAGTCTCTCGTGAAAACCAAATTGATTTGCAAATGAGTGTATTTGTAGAAATCAGTTCAATTTGGGTTCAAGTAGAACATGAGGTTGACGGAAGCTCGGGGACTGCGCCTACCTGATCAGCCACAAGAAGGGCGAAACCTATGTCCAAGAGGTTTTAGCAACCTTATGTGTAGGTCTCTTTATGAATACAGTCACCATTACGTATCACTGACACGCTATTATCTACCCGCTCGCTGTTCAACATAAAACTTGAAACTTGGAGTCTGGATCATCCGAATCAGGGTTTGGAAGACATTCTTTCTGAGTGTGCTATGCTTCTGATCGGACTTGCATTCCAACAGCCAATGGCTCTGATGTAAATGTATCCGGAAGCTGGGTGTTTGAACCCAAGTCTGGGACACCTTTAGGTAATATCTACCATGCTGTAACGCAGCGCAAAGGTAAAAATGTTTGTGTCCAGACAAGCATCTTCACCACCGTTTCGCAGCTGGACAATCTTGAATCTGTTGTAAACACTTATAAGTCATCAGCGAATATACACTCATTTGCAAACTAATTTGGTTTCTAGGTATATTCGCTGATTTCGTGCAATTTGGTTTCAAGTAGAAAATAGGGTTCACGGAAACCCGGGGACTGCCCCTACCTGATGAGCCCAAAGTAGAAGGGCGAAACCGGTCGTGGGCTGTCGACGGATCTTCAGCAACCTTATGAGTAGTACATTACAAAGATACAAGTAATCTTTACACAGTTCTGAAAATTATAACTTGCGGTTCAAGAAGTGCCTTGCCACTGACATCCACCTGCAAAATGCTGGCTGCTTGTCACCGGATTGTGTATACCCCCTCCGCTATGTCAGTCTCCAAGAATCTACCACTAAAAGCAATCAGTCTGTTTGGTGGCTTCACTAGGTGATCCGTCCTGAGACCATCTGACCCTTTAACAACCCCCTCATAGCTAGGATAAGTGCAGTGCAAATTTGACGCCTAACGCAAGTTACGGATTTTCTTAGATAAGAACTGCTCCTCCACAAGTTCTTTTTTATGGGGATTATTGTGCGCTCCTCTCGGGTGAACCAGTCACCTGCCATAAGTGCACTACCGGCTGCATAATGCACTTATGCATACCAATCTGGTTTCGATGGGGGACTTACACTTGGCATCCGGTTTTGCCCTTCTTTGGGCTCAAGAGCTGGGTGCAGTCCTTCGAGTTTCCGTCAAGCATATATCCTACTTGGGCCCAAGTTGTATGAAATTAGCTGAAGGCACTCATTAGTATACGAATTTGTCTTTGATAGGTGACTCACCTGAAACCCTGCTGGGTCTCTCTTTTGTGATGTTCTTAAGCACACTATCAACGAGTGATTCATCTGGATTTCAGATGAGTCTCATCAAAAACAAATTGGCATGAAAATGAGTGTATAAGTCAAAGTTTGTGCAATTTGGGTTCAAGTAGAACATAAATTTGACAGCAACTGGGAGGCTGTGCCTATCTCATGAGCCCCAAGAACGGCGAAACCGGCCGTGGGCTGTCGAAGAGTTTTCAACAACCTTATAAGTAGTATATTACGTCTATACCAACTATTACCATCTGGTCAACTTGACTAGATTGGTTATACCTCCGGGACACCGGACCATATCTATGTGAAAAGCTGATTCTGAAAGCAAATGAAGAGAGCGAAAGAGCGTCTGCATTGGGTTGTCGAACTTCTCCGGTTACTAATTAAAATATGAGCTTGTGAAACGGCGCACCTAACGATAAAATGGACTTTTTTGAGCGCGTTGTTTGGACGACTGAGAAACGTCATTATCATGTGAGTTGGCAGCGCTATTTTTCACCAGCATATATCATCGGAACCAGCCACTCGGCTCCTAAAAGGAAAAAGTCTTGGGGAAGCAAACGGCCGCAACTCGGTTATGTTCCACGTGAGCATTCTGATTCAATCAAGCTTATCACAAAAGAACATTGAAACATTAAGCACACTTTCACTAGGCCAATTTTACCAACCTAGCTAAAAATGCCACCATTGGTTTGAAGCACCGAACGCATGCTTAGTCATGTTGGCTAAAACGAAACTTTAAACCATACAACAGTTTCTGGGGCAGTCCATTTGAGCTCTCTGGTAAAGGCAGGACATTAGTAGTGCAAAGTGACGAGACACTACAGATTGCCATTAGTAAATCTGACACACTGAATTGCCAAATCAGCATTTCGGGGCGAGATGGTTAGAGCGTGAATTTACTGGCCGGAAGGTCCGTGTTTCGAACCCGACCTCTGCTTCTCAACTTCCCCTGTCTAGGCTTGAACAACCTGGTGGTATCCCAGCCCTCGTGCCTCCTTCGGGTGTCACGGCAGTTAGGCACAGAAAAGGTGCTACAGCTGAACGCTGAAGTCAGTATCTGGGGGCTGTTTGAAGCTGCAAATTCCGCAGATAGAATTTTTGTGGGAAGAAAAAATGTTCTATTGTACCACACCAATTTTTATGATGGCCTTCTCCAATTTTCTCTGTGTAGCACGTAGACCTTGAGGAATAGATCCGAGCAAGACTGGCACTGGTGAAGTAGTTCTCTGAAGCAAGGTTGTGGAATTCGTCAGAAAGTTCAATCATACACCTTGGTACGGCGTGTTCTTACAAAGTACAACATCCACATTCTTTTTTTCCGTAGCATTGGTGTATGGAGACATTCAGAATATGCATTGTGTGTGGTCCAGATCCGGAACACGACTAGCACTTTAAATGCATCCAGTGGAGCGTGCATTCTGTTGACATGATACTTTAAGCGAGAAAGAATTCGAAGACCGTTCTTTCCGGATGTCCTACCTGTTGTTGTGTTTTGGTTTTGCTTCACCCTAACGCATCCGCTCACCAATGAGATTCCCTAGAGAATTGTGTTGTTTTGAGAACTTCCCGATGTTAAGTCAAGACACGTGTGAATCCGCTGAAGGAACTCGGAATTTCGGTTCTTCCAGATCAGTCCAGGTCCTAGACATCTCACGGTGGTCTGTGTGCACCTTTGAACTGAGAGTATTTGTTCAGGAATTTTTTGTTGTCGGTGACCCATCGTGGTTGTCTGAATGAGCGACCCAGCCTTCGGGGTGATTGACACGCTCGCCTCAGCAGAGGGACAGGCTAAACTTACAGCGGCTAGCTGCGTAAGGGCCGTTCTGTGAACAAAAAGGCTTCAATCAGATCTTGATAAATCAATCATTCTCAGTTGGTTTGGTGATCCTCATAGAATGTTCACCAGAGCACAGTCAGGAATTACATGATACAACGGCGAAACTGGTTCGAACAGAACAATAACCATGTATATATTTGTAATATACTACTCATGAGGTTGCTGAAAATCCGCCGACAGCCCACGACCGGTTTTGCCCTTCTACTTTGGGCTCATCAGGTAGGCGCAGTCCCCAGGTTTCCGTCAACCTTATGTTCTACGGTGAAGGAAAAACAGAACACGTCAGGCTAGTTACGGTAGCTACATTGCCAAGACGTGGCTAACCCGAGCGCCACAATTTCTGCGATTATGCACAAACTGACAGGATACTTCTCTAACAAATTCTAGGTAGAGTGGGGTGATCAAACATCATCATCATCACTGACAGTAACATCATATCAGAAAAACCATGCCAACTTATCTGAATAAATCCTTCTACTGGAAAGAAGATATGAACTAGGAGAGGAAGAGGGACTTCGGTATAGCCTACAACGAACATCTGGGGTGCCTACAACTCCAGCACTCACTTAGACGATCCAACTAGAAGCTGACGGTATGAACGTCAATGACATCAGTTAGACGACATGTCGTTCATCGTCTCCAGTCAAGTTCGCGGAGGGTCACTATCAGGAAGGTCAGATTCCTGAAATCAACTTCTGAACACCCGGAACCTACTGCTACACCAAAAGCTCAACTGGAAAGCCGGCAAGCATCCAGGCCAGTCAATCATTTGATCAATTCAGTGTGATGAGTGTTCTCTGCGCCACAGAAGCACGACCGAATGTGACCAGCATTCAAGCTTTTCACAGAGGCACGATCGATGTTGATAGGTGATCACTAAAGCCTATCAGACAGCCTGGATCAATGTCAGAAAGTCCCCTTTGAATAGCGTGGGGCCGTTGTAACTTTTGCTCTCTCACTCACTCGCTTGTTCTGTGAGTCTTTTCTCTCCGACAATCGGCACTGGAGCGGGTCAGCAGCAGATACCTCAGATTGACGAAACAGGAGATATAACAGTCACGCGGACCCCGTGACGAACAGACACAAACGGCACCGACGACTTTCGCAACGTCGTTCACTCCCTTCTCTCACGTCCAATTCTGTCTGCCTCTAGGTTTCGCCACTCCGACTTATGCACGGAAACAGCGGTCGTCTCGACGAGCGCAACTTAGCTCGGTAACACGTAACCAGAGACCCAATCAACTTAGGTTGTGGTGCATTCGTTGAGCAACATATCATCTGGCTCATCAAAACCCATTTCCTGATCTGATTGTAAATTCGTTGGTCCCAGTCAACCCGAGCTATAGCTCTGAGACATCAGAAATCGGAGATGCGAGGACGTCTCAGATTCTCTAACAGAAATGAACAGGCCTCACATTGGTCTGATGTGCACGTTCTTTGAGGCCCTATGATGCGTTTTTTTCGATACCACAGGTGGCGCAAATTAAGACGAGTACTTCAGGCGTTCACTCTGTTTGTCCCACCACCGTCAGACCTAATCACACCTCCGAGATAACTGGGACGTTGCGCAACTTCCAATGTCGCTCTTGGAATTCATAGAGGCATATTCAAAGACTGTACGTCTCACAGAATTACTTTGCAATTTATGGGTTCCAAGCAGTTGCCGAAGGACTCGATGAGCCTGGTCGGTTTAACCTCCATTACTTACCCTTTTAGTTCTTCTTTAAAAATGACAACCGTGATGTCTGCAAGGTCTGGGTCGACAGTGTGCTCAGTCGGAAAGATCTGACTTTACCATGTTCGCCCCATTAGCTCATTCGTGACGAATTTAAACGAGATTCGAGAGCATGTATATTCTGTTCGGATACCGTTAATTGTAGGAAAGCCTTTGGATAGCTTCCCACTTACCCTCACATCCATAAGTGTGTGAATACAAACAGCACATTATATTGGCGAACTTCCGATACCTACTGCGTTGCTCAAGCATGTTGAGAAGAGCCAACTGGTCAACAGAGTCGAACGCACTCTTGATGTCAAGGAATACAAAATTATAGAACGTCTATTTGAATGCTTTTCTTCTTGCACTTGACGGAGTGTGACACGACACAATTTGTTGTGAATTGCTGAACGGTCGTGCAATTCTGCATAGGTCTCTTGGCTTCCTGCTCCCCCCACTAAGACTTCAAACATTTGCGGTACAACCAAAGCCTGAAGATGCAGACTCCTTTCTACAGACGTAATACACTACTTATAAATTTGCTGAAATAAATAAAAAAACACAACGTGGATCAGAGATACCGTTAATTGTAGGAAAGCCTTTGGATAGCTTCCCACTTACCCTCACATCCATAAGTGTGTGAATACAAACAGCACATTATATTGGCGAACTTCCGATACCTACTGCGTTGCTCAAGCATGTTGAGAAGAGCCAACTGGTCAACAGAGTCGAACGCACTCTTGATGTCAAGGAATACAAAATTATAGAACGTCTATTTGAATGCTTTTCTTCTTGCACTTGACGGAGTGTGACACGACACAATTTGTTGTGAATTGCTGAACGGTCGTGCAATTCTGCATAGGTCTCTTGGCTTCCTGCTCCCCCCACTAAGACTTCAAACATTTGCGGTACAACCAAAGCCTGAAGATGCAGACTCCTTTCTACAGACGTAATACACTACTTATAAATTTGCTGAAATAAATAAAAAAACACAACAAACGTGGATCAGAGCATAAAAGCCTGTAATGTACACAGAAAATATTGGTTCGGGCCTTGAGTACTGACTACACTACAGATTTTATTGTAAGACGTAGTGTCCAAAGTTCAGTCATGTACGTTTTCTATGCACTATGTAGTCACATATTTCCACCACAGGATTTACAACACGTAGATTTTTCATTTTTTTATATCCCAAGCTGATTCGGCATTCGACAGCATCCGATCTCCTTTGATCAACCTAGTCATATAGAGTTGTGTTCCTGACCCAACCATCCAAGTCCATCGTACGAATGTTGAACGGTTTTTCGTTCGAAGCCCACACAATTTCCGCCACAGACAAAAATCAAATCAAGAGTGTATTGCCATTTCCCGGAGGACATCACACTTCATTCACCGATTTGCGTCACATCTTGGAGGGACCGATTTGCAGTGGACTCTTACGTACACCAAGAGGGCTGATGGATCTTCTTTAGT